TAAAATTAACTATTAGCAAGATATAATACATATGAATTACAATGTACATGTCTAAAAAACATTGATCTATTAATAAATCATAAAATTAATGTTATATTATTGATTAATTGCTTAAATTTTAGCAATTACTAAACATGCCACGCTAAGTCCCGTAAGGGTGTCGGTCTTTAAGAGTATCTCGTCGGTACCTCGGATAATCGTTGCAGTATCTCGGGTTGGGTCCTTAGTAGGGCCCCTAGAGGGCGTTCCTCCTGCTCTCGCGTCGCCGGAAAGCGTTTGTGCTTGCGAAGCGCCGCCCGTATCCTTGCATCACCGTCATATGCCTTTGTAATAATTGCGCGAGAATGCTATCGCCTTCTGTTTGGTTCTGAGTGGTTTTGGCACTCGCATTCTCGTCGTTCATAATGCGCCGTAGCACTGTCTTTGCAGCTACACTTCTTTCCTCGAATTCAACTTCGGCCGTAATGTCCGCCTCTGTCGGCTCATCCGTTTCGTTGAAGTCTTGCCGTTGGATTCCTTGAAACTCGTTGATAATCTGTTCGAGCTGTTCCAGTCAAACCTCCGCGTCCTCCTTATCGAGTGTAGCTGAGTGGTCCTGGATTCGTTGCTCTAGCCTTGTTAATTTGCTTTTAACATAGCCTCGTTGCTTCCTCAATTTGCCAATGTCAGCAATATTGTCGTTGCTCGTAAAAGTTTTCCTAGGTTGATTTTAATGTTTCAACGCTAGTTTCCTCACAGAGATGTGCTCTGTACATCCGGCTCGAAGGACCAAAATGTTTGTGATATTTTCGTATAACTTTATTGAACACTTGGAATGGACAACACTTGAAAATATAGACTAGAGACCGTAATCACGTCGGGGCCGACTCTATTACAACTGAAAATGCGCCGATCGTGACGAAACAAAAAGAGAAAGAACGCATGCGCGAACGCGTAGTATTACATAGAGACGAAATGAAACGCATGCGCGAACGCGTCGGTCGCTCAAATATAATATTAGCATTAAACGTAGTTACAGATTAGTATAAAATCAGACATACTTATTTCGAAATTCATGATGGCGGCCGAAAGCTCGAAATGTTACGATATTGTGCAAATTCATTTAAAAAATGCAGTAATCATCATAACTGGTGTATTTTTATTAATATCGTGATATTATATGATCAAAACAACAATAAAATTATTGCAACAATATGGCGAACACAAAATGGCCAATTATAACGTGCTAAAAACGCCAGAAGATGGATATATAAAAGCATTATATTTTTTAATATATCAATGTCAAAGTTTTTTATTTTTCAGTTTTTATTATTATTTGGTTGTTTTTTAATTAAGTTCATAATTTTTTTCCAAATAAAATAATTTTATTTGTTACTTATGAATAGCATAAAAACAGGTGGAGAATTGATAGATATTACAATCTATACACATTTTTTGTGTTCTCGAAGCACATTTTGCATAATTTGAACAGTTTCTTTTCCATTTTACTGTTTGAAATTTGTGCTGTTTGAATCTCAATTTTCCAGCATTGGCTTTTGCAAGATAAAAATCAGCAATATCTAATGCAACAAAAATATGTATAGATTGTAATATACATATATCAATGCTCCAGCTGTTTTATGCTTTCCATAAGTGACAAATAGAATTATTTTATTTTTAAAAAAATTATAAAATTGTTAAAAAACCAAAAAAATAATAAAAACTGAAAAATAGAAAATAAAAAATTTAAAATTGATTAAATAATTAACAAAAAAAATTGTTTAATGAAAAATAAAACACTTTGACATTAATATAAAAAAATATAACGCTTTTATATATCCATCTCCTAGCGTTTTTTAGCGCGTTATAATCGATCATTTTGTGTCCGCCATATTGTTGCAATAATTTTATTGTTGTTTTGATCATATAATATCACGACATTGATAAAAACACATCAGTCATGATGATTACAGCATTTTTTTTAGTGAATTTGCACAATATCGTAACATTTCGACCTTTCGGGCGCCATTTTCGATGCCGCCATCATGAATTTCGAAATGAATATGTATAGGTTTTAAAGTTTAGAGTTCGTGGACGCGATATTTTGCGACTGCTCAAGACCATCCTAATGTCGTTTTGATGTGAAAATATCGATTTAAAAAAAAATTTGAGTGAAAAATCAGTTTATTTCCAAAAAATCGACTACAACTTTTTTGGACTTTTGACAAATTCTGAAAGAGCAAAAAATTTTATTTCAGAAATGATGTTGCTTGATTTTTTTTCAAGGCCATTAAAATAAAAAATTAAGCCACTGAAAATTGTTCAAAAAATGTGTCCGTTTGGATGTTAATGGGTTAAATTGTGGCCAAATTATGTTTTTAATATTTTCTCAAACTGATCGAAGCGTCAATACTTTGAATGTACTTTATAATTCACCATGTTACCGATTTTTCACTTTGGTGCACAGTCTCATCGTCGAAAAGTTTCTATCCTGAAATCTTCATAACTCGGTAAAAAAAATCATACAGGAATAAGTAAAGTCGTTATTTAAATATAGAAGGTAGTGTTTTATGATGCCGCTAAGAGCATATTAAAATAATTTGATTAGTCACAATAACGTCTTGAAAATAACAAAAAATTATTTTTGACCCATAAAATCATTTATTTCTAAAACTTGATGAACGTTTTTTGCTGGCGCGTTCGAATTCGAATTCGGCAAAATTACGTAGGAAGTCACTATTCTGCTACTTTTTTGTTTTTTCTGGATCTTTAATTTCGCAGTCCTGTGTTATCCATTTGTTCAAAACAATATACTTGAATAAAGAGAGAGTTAGTATCCATCTGGTATGGGACTAACGTCTAAATAAGAATTCAGCAATGTAACTTATAATGTTATAAACGATTATCAAATTTACCTAATTACATTTACTCTTATTACTTTATGTATAATTATAATATCGTAAAAATCTATCTACATATTTGTATATTACTATGTATTTGTTTAAATCTTTTTGTTTAAATAGTCATTTGTTTTTAAATATAAAGAAAATACGGAGAATAGACAAAGAACAGCACAGTTCATATCTTCATTTTAGGGGAGAAAGCTTTAAACCTAATATAAACCAACTTTAGATCATGTATCAATCTAATTTGAAGTTAGATTAGATTGCATTAGAAAATTGTGTTGAACACAAAAGACAAAACTATTTTTTTACTTATACAATTATTATTTATTGTTTATATTTTTGGAATGAACTATAAACATAAAATCTCTTTCTCTCTCTTTCTTTTTTAAGATCTTTTTTTAAATCATAATCTTAACAACTTATGTCAATAGTTATGTCAAAGTTATTGAAAAATATTCTCCCTAAAATAAATACTTACTTTTACGTATTAAAATACGCGCAAAATATAAATGTTTTTTTTTGCTTTATTGTATATTATTGTTCATAATTATATTCATATTATATTGAAATTGCAGAAATATTCCAGAGAGGCAAACTGAGAATCCTATTATAACACTGCGTGACGACGGGCTGTACAATATCTTATTACGTGTCACCTTACTGGATGAAGATTTACCAGAAACAACAATTGTTAAATGTTTGCTCAGCATATCAAGAGCATCATACAATGTTTCTCGCAAAACTGTCTATTACGCTGGTTAGTGAATGTTTATTTATATGTTTATTTTTATGATATACATGTATAATATGTGCGCGCACATGCGTACACACACACACACACACACACACACACACACACACACGCGCGCGCGCGCGCGCGCGCGCACACACACGCACACGCACACACACACACACACGACATACTTTGAATGGTGTGTCACGAGCCAGACGATTTGACCTCAGATTCAAGGTTAGCTTACTTACGAAGGTCACAAGCTAACGCAAAAATGGAATATTCAATAACAAGGTTTCATAGTAATATTCTTGATGAGTAGATTTTTGTAATAACTTTCTTGTTTATAAAATAAACGTTATACGACAATTGATATAGTTCTTATTATTGATTATACTTGCAAGCAGCAAGAAACATTTTGTACTTAAGTTAAAAATGGTTGTTAAAACTTTTATGTTAAATATTTAACATATTTGAGTGTTTTTATAATTTAACATAATGTAATTATCTAATATAAATTATGTAATTATAATGTATAAAATATTGAATTTAATTTATATTTAATATTTTTTAGTGTTAAAATAACACAATTTATTAGTACGTAAATAAATAACGTAAAAATTCATAATGTAATTTTTGAAACGTAAATTTTGAGATAAATAAATGAAAGATTATGCTTGTCAATTTAATATATTATAAATGTTAATTTTACTGAAAAAATATACTTCTGCAATTTATTTCCGAGTTGTGTTAAAAGTGTTACATTTTTATGCTAATTTTTATATAATATATTTGTATTGTTTTTGTATAAATTTAACATATTTACCTTATGTTCATTTACATAAAAATTTGAATACACCATTTGAGACACGTTAAATGTTTTAAATTTAATGCAAATTTTCTAACTGTATAGTCGATATTATATGCCAAATCTAACCACTTCTATTACTGTTTCATATGTACATATGATATTACAATTGCTTTTTTATATGAATTTGTATCATTTCTAGCATACATTTGTGTATAATTAAGAATTTTATCTGTCAATTTAACATTTGTAAACTTTATTTTAAAAAAAGATTAAACATACAAAATTAATAATAATAAACATAAATAATAAATACTTGTATAAATTAATCTTTAAAAATCTCTGTAATACTGTGTTTAGTATACGCATGTATATGAAATATATTTTTACATTTATATATTTCAGAAATTTGTTTAAAATTTTGCCTCTTCAGTTATTTAAGTTATTTAAATGGAATATTATTAAAGTTAATGACTAACATTTTATAGACACACAAATTTTTATATCTATTGTATTAAATTGAACTAAATCTTAATTAATGAAATAAATTATTTTATTCTTTTATTAATGAATTAAATTCTTTTTTTCTTTTTAATAGGAATATCTTGTGAAATTAATAATTTCCGAATAAAAAATAAAAAAAGTTACAAAGTTTTTATTTATGAAAGTGTACAAAAACGGAAAAAATAAATCGCAAAAATCAATATGATAAGATATAAATGACAAAAAATTTTCAAGTTAAGCCGAGAAATGATTTAAAAGATTCGGAGTGTCAAAGATTAATACATCAGCCCATATGCTTTGACAAATTTTTTATCAGATAATTAAAATCTTTCTCATAATCGGGCGTTTTGTTAACTGCTGAATGAATTTGAAGTCAAATTTTCAAAATTTTAACTGGCCGATTTAATATGGCGGCCCATATACATATTTAAAAAATGTTTTCATTTCTACCTAGAAAAATATCTTATAGGAGTTTCGTGGATTGCCGATAACAAATCCGAAATTAGATCTTTAGAAAAAATGGCTAATTTAACAATATGTGATTGGTGATATTAACTGTTTTTATTTGTTAGAATTTGAATTGATATTTTCAATCAGCATCGTAATAATTACGGAAACAATATTTTATAAAAATTTAATTGGCCAAATAGACCGAATAGATCGAATACTAGGCTTCAAAAATGGAAATATATATATTTAATTTTGATTCATCATACTAGCTATTTTGAGTTTCAAAAATCTGATTTAAAATCCGTTACCAGCAGCTATAGCAAATAAAGCTATAGCAAAACTCTTGGGTATGAAATTTTATATTATTGTCGTACTGACATAAAAATTCGTACATCATAGCGTATGACCTGACACTTTAATGAATTTTAACCTTTCATATCTTAAACTAATTCTCTCTTTAACATTTGAAAAGAAGGGATTACGATTTGTTCCGTTTTTGACCTCCTCTTGAATTCAAATAAAACTGAAAGCGGAAAATGTATCTCTATATATGCCTCATAATTCTCTAAAAGGATATGATCCTAAACCGTATCGTTTATGAATCTGCAAACTCTTTAAATGGTCTTGAATCACTATAGATGCATGTGAAGACAGCGCATTCGGGAATTCAACGCGTTGCATGACAGGGTGCGTATCACTTTCATCTCTTGATATATTCTAGGTGATATCCTAGGCAAGTTTTTGAGAAAGTTGGTGAAGTGGCAATTTCAAGAACATTATAAAAAAAACTTCAATTATCGAAAAGCGTTAAGTCCCCTGTAAATCGCACAAATTCAAAATGTAATAATTCATAAACGAGGTTTAGGAGCATATCCTTTTAGGGAATAAGGCACATGTATATGGAGGTACAATTTCCGCATAGTTTCAGTTGAAATTAGAGGGAAGTTAAAAATGGTCCAAATTGCAACTTCTCCTTTTTTATAATTGATATCTCATCATAAGATATTATTTGGTACAAAATTTACTTCCAAAATTGCGGATCAAAAGCGGGTGCAAATACTAATCAATTTTGCGATCATTCTTTAAAAACTTAAAAAAATGAATGTGAGATTCTATTTTATATTTAACTTGGAATTTGCTTAAATAGAACTTGAATTATGTAGACTTACAATTAGTAGAATATTTAATAATATCTACCTAATAAAATTAGTAAAAGAAAAAGCGTGCATTTATTAGCGTACATTTATTTAAAGCGCCTGGATATTCCCGTAGACGAAGAGAGAGAGAGAAGAAATATTTAAACTTCTAATATAAAATTTTATGTAAAAAAAAAATGATTCTAAAATAATGAAAATATGCTTCCACTTTCAATATGTTGTATTCTTATAAATCTTACAAGTTTTCGTGAATCTACGTAACTTTAATGAAAAATGCAGAAATGTTGAGAAAGAAAATTGTAAATTAAATCGTAGGTATATTAAAAAATAGCGCTATACATATATTGTCTGTGTATTGATGTCGATTTGATTCCTTGAAAATTAGGAAAAATTTGATGTAAATTTGAAATTGTGAAATGATGTAAATTAAAAATTGCGAAAGTATAGATAACCGACTACTTCTTCTACAAACAAATTATCACAAAGACATATTTGCTGAATTGATAATTTTGATTATCGTTTATATAGGGTGTACTATACATGTGAAATCTATTAATAGATAGAAAACACAAAATCATTGATAAAATTAATATAAACGTGTGCCCCATTTGGCTTTGTTTCCAAGTTATAGTCATATTTGTATTACATATGTAGCTGTTTACCTTATAAAAGATGCTTAAAATAACTATCTTCGATCTGAATGCAAGCATGTAATCATCGCTTTATAAATTGTCACACATTTTCAAAAATATCAGATATTTGTCGGATTTATTAGCAGCCTTTTTGTATATGTTGACAAAGTATTTTAATACTATCAATAAAATAGGAATAAATAATTGCTCTAAGTGTCCCCCCAAATAAAAATCTAATAGATTTGAGTCTAGAGAACGTGCAGTTCAGTTCTGTACACGTTATTTATATAAGAAAAGTTGTTCAACGACACCGACAATCGTCGATAACGTGTACAGAATCCCAGCACAGCCAATACGTTCTGCACGACCTATCCATTTGTTAGGAAATTATTTATTTAAGAAATTTCTGACTAAAATAGCTGTCATGCAAAAACTATAATACATGCGACGGACAACATCAAGTGGAACCGGAAGTGATTATTTTGAGCTTTTTTTATAAAGATAAATAGCTCCACTTCCGGAATATAAATATATGAATACAACTCGGAAGCAAAGCCAAATGGGACATATGTTTATATGAACTTTTATCATTATCTTTGTGTTTCTTATTCACTAGTGAAATCGGTTTTACATTACATATTTGATACATATTTGATATATCTTGATGTAGAATCTTATGTTAGGATCAGGGTTGGGTAGTGCTAGTTAAAAAGATAAAAGTTAAGTTAAAAAGTTAAAAAATAAAATAATTTTAACTTAACTTAGTTACATTTTAGGCTCTTAACTTTTAACTTAATTTAGTTACATTATATCGGTAAATATTAACTTTTGATCTAACTTTCTTGAAATTACATTTTTAGTACTTCTTGTAAACCCAAAATAAAATACATGTCTAAGTTAGTGTCTTCAAATTCAAATTTGAGAACACACATCAAGGCAATTGTAATAATTTAATAAATATAGTCTGGCCGCGGAAAGGAATCACTGTTCGCGAATCTTCTGTGCATTAAATCACGTTGGAAAAAGTCCTTCGAAATCGGATAATCCTCTTTCCGTGGCTCGACAGAAATAAATATAACAAATATATTTATTTAGAAACTTTATTTAGAAACCCTAAAATTAAAACAATAACACACATTGATATTAATAATCATAATACTGTTTTTTTCTTGCATTACATGTAACTTTACATTCTTTCTTTGCAACTATAGAAAATAAAACTATATAACAAATTATTTTTTGCAATAAATATTATTTTTACTTTTTTACATTAAACATTAAGTTAAGATTCAATTTAATAGAATATTGAATAGATTTAAAAAAATTTTCCGTTATTTCCAGATGTCCGAGTCCGTAAAAGTGGCGGTAAGATGTCGGCCTATGTCCAACAAAGAATTGCAGCAAGGATGTCGGGGATGTAATAAATATAATACATAATTCAAGCGTTGTGTACTTCTTATTATTTACATATTAAATGCTAATTTTTGATCGAAATTTTAATATTTATTACTCTATTATATAATAATATAAAAATAAATAATTGCCATTTGATAAAAATATGTGATGCATGTTAGTCATTGAAAGAAAAATTGAGGCTGGAAAAAATTAAGAGAGAGAAGAAAAGTAAAAAAAAAATGAGGAAGAGAGGGAAAAAAGAAGAGGAGAGAAGAGAAAAGAGAGAAAAAAAAGAGGAAAGAGGAAAGAAGGGATACATATAAGAAACAGAAAATACAAGGGAGGAAGAGAGAAAAAAAGGGAGAAGAGAGAAAGAGAAAGCAGCATATCCTAATTCTTTATATTTTATTTTATTTATTTTAATATTGCTTCTCCGCAAATTATAATTTATACTGAAATATTATTTATCAATTTTTATATCTTTTGTTTGTTTTATCATCTTATATACTTAAGCTGGTTCCTAATATGTAGGACTCATTGGTGGACAGAAAACACAAAGACAAATAAAAGTTCATAAGCATGTGCCCCTTTGGCTTTGTTTCTGAATTATAGTCACATATATATTTGTATTTTAGTAATATAATGGAGTTGCTTACCTTTATAAGATGTGCTCAAAATAATCATCTTCTGCCTATAATAATGCAAACATGTAGTCGTTGTAGATAGTCCCACACTTTTCAAAAAATATCGAGTGTTCATCGGATTTGTTGACAGCAATTTTTTGAATGAACGAATTCCTAACAAATAAATAAGTGCAGAACCTATTGACTGACGTGCGCGTTCCCCAGATTTAAATGCGTTAGATTTTTATTTGTAGGGACACTTGAAAACAATTGTTTATTCCCATCCTATCGACAGCATTAAAATTCGCCAACGTATACAAAAAAAAACTGTCAACAAATGTTCTGAACATATATATACATATATATATATATATATATATATATATATATATATATATACACACGAGAGCA